TTTTTCTTAGGGTCTCACTGTGTGACCCATCAACTACCCTGGTTGTGGTCTGTGACTGCAGCCATAGTGCCCTTGAGTACCAAGAGAACTGCCAACCATCAGACTAGTTTAGGAAGCCACCCGGTCTCCAGTTTGCTACCACAAGCCCCTCCCTCCCCTCCAGGCATCTCAGCAGCACTCAAGCCTCTCCCCAGGGAGAAACCCTGGGAGGGAGCATTGCTGAGAAGAACCAGTTTGACCCAGAACCAAATGCAAACCAGAAGATTGCTCTTTAAAACAGAACACAACACACACACACCCCACCTCTTGTCCTCTGAAGACCAGGAGCTTCAACTGCAGAGGCCGCCAGATCACTCTGCATCAACTATGGCCACGTCTAGGCTGAACCCGCCAGATCACTCTGCATCAACTATGGCCATGTCTAAGCTGAACCCAAGAGCATGTCCTGGGTGTCACCGAACACTGGAGTCCCCAATTCAGCCTTGACTATGACTTTGTCCACTCTCTCACAGTACCCTTGGTACCTTCGGGAAATTAGTACAAGAGACCGGAGAGTCAGCTGTGGGAATGAGTTCTCCTCCACCCAGCTTCTCCTGACAGCACAGAATGAGTTCTGGGCAGCTCTGTACTCTCAACTACAGTGCCTGCTGGACTCCAGGCTGGCCACCCGGACCACCGGACAGCTTGTCCACAACCAGAACCTGGGGAGGCCCAGCAGACCCAAGGACACAGCTGTAGTCCTCAAAAAGCACAGTGCGCAGCCCTAAAGGTGTAGGCAGCGGATGAATGCGGCTTGGCTCCATAAAGAGACTAACAACAACACAAATGGGCCGAGGGCAGAGAGACAGGAAATGAACATTTGCTATGGCAAGGGCTCCCAGACAGAACAGAGAGGTCACAGCAAGATGACCACGGACAGGATGCAGATCTTTTCGTGGGAAAGCCAGGCAGGCCAGAGCTGTAGAAATCGTGAGCCCAGCAGGTGCAGGAGGAACTCTCACTGGGGAGGGCTCTCCCAAGAGGAGCTACAGGGCAGTAGTGAGACCCCACTCCCCATAGAGCCTGACAGAAACCCCTGTTCTTGGCCCCTAACCTTGCTGATTGTTGGTGAGGTCTGAAGCAGCTTCAAATAGCTCTTGTCCAATGTGACCGTCTATCAAGTAGCACAGCAGTGCCTGGGGCCAGTGGGGAATCACATAAAGATGGGGTTAGCCAACAGGTCAGAGGCCTCTGCAACTGTGAGAACCACATCAACAGACATCTGAGATGGGGCCACAATGGACAGGTGTAAGGGAATTCAGCCGTGCATTTGCTGGCTAAAACCAAGGAAGCTGAAGATGTGGACCAAAGCCCTATGGGTAGAAGGACTCTTCAAAAGAACCACACTTAGCCAGTTCATGTTTTCAGACATGCAAAATTCAGAAAAATTTCCTCCAACAACCCATGACAGAGAATATGACTGCAAATGAGTTTTTCCTTCACAGTGTAATGACATGTCTCTCACACCATCCAGCGTCCCACGACCCTGTGGACTGCCCCCACTAACCTTTGTTTTAAACATTTATTTATTATGTATACAGTGTTGTTCTGCCTGCATGTCTGCCTGCTGGCCAGAAGAGCATACCAGATCTCATCACTGATGGTTGTGAGCCACCATGGGGGCACTAGGAACTGAACTCAGGACTTCTGGAGGAGCAGCCAGTGCTCTTAAACACTGAGCCATCTCTCCAGCAGCCCCCACCACCAAGTTGTCACTTTAGCCCTGGTCACTCATGGCCACACTGTCCCTTGTGGCAGCAGCTACTGCTGAGGGCATTTGCACAGCAGCACGTCCTCATCCCACGGAAGCTGTCACCTGCTGTGGGAAGCACTGGAGGATGGAACCCACCCAAACCAGCAGAGGACAACTCAAGGCCCAGGAGTCACACGTCCAACCCAGATGAAAGGCACCCTGACCGATGGAATCTTCAGGGAACACTGGCACAGTGCAAGGGCTGGACCCAACAATCTGGGAAACCACCTTACCCAGAAGGCAAAGGCAACCCTCCTGGTGCAGCCTGGACCCTTTCCTGTAGTTACAGCCTGACCTTATATGTTAGGACGGCAGGCAGTTTAGAAGAACAGAAGCAGTATCTAAAGTAGCTACAAGAGGTAGTGACACTATGTCATACTTTAGGTTCAAAATAATGAAATAAAAAAAATTAAAAAAAGAAAGAAAGGAAGGAAGGAAGGAAGCAAGCAAGCAAGAAGGTACCAACAAAAAGGCTAGGGCCTTGGAGTTGAGAACTGACCATTCCTCTAGGATCCATCCTGAATGGAGCTGCTGGCTGACCCCTTGGAATCTCTCTTACTTGTACTCTGATCCCAACGCTCGTCAATCACCCCAGTAAGCTATAATGCAAGTGGGGTGAGGAGAACAACCAGAAAGGAAATGGATCCCTACAAACTGATACCTGGCACTGTCAGGAAGAGAAGGGGCTGTTAAGGTCTCATTTGGGGTTCAGAAGAAGGGGCTGTAAGGTTTCATTTGGGGTTCAGAAGAAGTGGCAGTAAAATCTCATTTTGGGGTTCAGAAGGGGCTGTAATTCATTTAGGTTCAGAAGAAGGAGCCATAAGGTTTCATTTGGGGTTCAGAAGAAGGCAGAAGCCAAAGTTAGGAATGTGCCCCAACTCAGAACTCCCCATTGGAAAGGAAAATGACCCTCCCACCAGCCATGGCCACTCTGACCTCCATCCCTCAGGCAGCGAGAGGAGGATGGGTGAGATGCTGGGAAGCTGATACCTGGGTTCCACTGCGGTTCTTAACAGAAAGGTTCTTATCCCAATGCACCTTCCACAACCCTGTCACACCAGGGCCAAGCTCAACCAGCAACTGGGTCACTCGGTCAGCACCTTTCTAAAGTCCCATAACACAGAACCAGGGACTGTGGCAACATTCCCTTGCGTCCAGGTTCACCATCCCCTCATGTGACTGTTATGGCTCAGTCAAGACCGACTCAGCGGTTTCAGACGCCCCGGTTAACAACACCGACAGGGACAGCAATGGGTGGGTAGCTGCTGGTGTTGTCATTCGCCCACTCCTGGCAAACTGACAGGTATGCAGGAAATGTTAGGGTCTGTAAAATTTGGGAGGCATATTTTATAAATCATGCACACGGAACTAAGAAACAGGCATTCGGCATTTTAAGGCTGCCGTGACTCTTCCTACACACACATTTAAAGGGCCTAGACCAGAGGACTGCTCACACTCTATAAACAGGCATGGCTTCTTAAGGGCTTTCCAAGAATTTTTAACGCATTCACTTCATTCTTGCTGACACCTCGCAGACAAAGCCAAGAGGACCCACTTAAGATGTGTACTTTCACCAAGGAGCAGTAAGACGGAGCTGCCAGCCTTGGTGGAACTCTAGCATGTAAACAGAACAAGCTACACTGCGGCGTGGGGTTTTACAACCTCCCAGAACAGGGCTCTGAGAGACTGGAGAGCCCGTCTTGGTCTCAGAGAAGCCTGCGCCAGCAGTGGCTATGCTTAGAGGAGAGGGAGGGCTGCTGTCCACCTGGAGTTGAGACAGTGAGGCAGGGGTGTGGGGCACTGGCAAGGACAGAGCTGCTCTCCCGGTGGCAGGCCTGGGAAGCAGCACTTGCTACAAAGTAGAACTAACTTCCCCTAGGTGGGACTGGGGTGGGACCTCTGCCAATCAAAAGAGGCATGCAGACAGCCATTAGTGAAAAGACGCAAACAATCCTGAAATTGAAAATAGAACCACATAAAGGGAGATTGGTTAAAAATAGGAAGACCAAGGCTTAAAACCCCCTCTCTCTCAAATCAGAGGCCACTCGGATTCTGGCAGACCCAGGGCCTGAGATCCTTCAACTCAAAAGTAAGCCATGCCTCTTTGCATCTGTGTGAGGCACTACTTCCCAGGTAAAGATAGACTCTGGTCCCCATTCTTGAGGAATCCCTGGTAGAAACATCAATGTAAACCTAGTGAAGCCATCTAAACTTGGGATAAAAATAAAACAGGCATCTTCTACAGAGGACGAACGGGAATGCAGTGTTCCAGGCACTGAGATGAGGGCAGAAGGGACAGTGATGGACAAAAGCACCTCCTACACCGGAGGACTGAGGACCAGATGTGCTCAGACCTTGAACCACATGTCACCTCCCAACTCCTGCCATCCTCTGCACTGCTTCGCTGCTTTGGTCTGGCACTTCTCTTTAAATCAGATCCATTTATGGCTGTTTTAGAAGCAGGGTCTTGCTGCTACCCAGGCTGGTCTCCTTGAATAAGCCTCCCATCTGAGCCTCTTGACACACTGGGAATCCACGCATCTCTGCACCCCCTCTCCCCCACACACACACCATCCGCCATCTCGCCAGCCCTAGACTCAGTTTCGCGGTTTGTACTTTCCTCTCACCTAGGATCACAGTATCCATTTGTACAATCGATGGGTTCCATGTGTTTGTCTTATATCACAAAGAAATAATCGTACATTATAAAAGTAAAAACTGTCCTCCATGAGCCAAGAGCCACGTCCTCTGTGTCACAGTCAGAGGAACCTGGCCAGGACCTTTAAGGCCTATGTAGTGAGAGTAAGAGCTCCAGCAACTCAAAACAGTAAAGGCAATCACCTGAGAACATTTATTTCTAAATAGCAGCTGACAGTGGGTTACCGGGTACTCTCCCAGACTGCAAGACCAAGCCCTGACAGCACACAGCTCTGAGGTCCCTGGGTTCCATGTGGCCCTCTCCTGGGGTGCCCTCATCCAGCCAACTTTCATTTCCAATTTTAAAAACAGACACCAGCGGTATTTCAGTAATTTTTTATGCAACCTCTTGAAAGTTTAAATTTATACTTCACCAGACATGAAAGTCTAAACTAGGTCAGTAAGCAGCACGGCCTCTTGGGGGATGCTCAGGGCAGGCAGGAGAGGGGCCTCCTGGGGGATGCTGCCCTGGCAGGGGATGGAGCGGTAGCCAGAGCAATTTTAACCCTACCTCCATGCACGAAGCCGTGAAGGGTGCAGTCCGAGGGCCCCACCAGGTGGATCAAGCTGGACTGGCTGTAGCTCACGGTGTTCGGCTCTAAAAAAGAACAGAAAAGAGATCAGATGTTGTACAGATGGGTCCCCACAGCCCAAAGGTAGCAAGGCGACTACTGCCCTGTATTCTCTGTCACCAGAAGTGTGACTGCAGTCACTTAGGTAGGTTTCTCTTAAGACAATGGAGGTCTCCGGCAGTACTGAGGAGCCTCTACCAGCGAGTCACAGTGCACTCTGGATATGGTGGTGCTCACTAGACCCTGCTAATGGCAGTAATTGCATCCCTTGGCTAGAAGGTTCCAGGCCTGACTCTGATCCTCCATAGGATGCCATCATTCAGTTAATTTTCCGTTCCAATGATACAAAGAGCAAGGACAGTGTTTCTTGCTTCCTGCATGGGCCCAGAAAGTCTCAGGCTTGACAGGTGTCTGGGCTGGCTTCCCTGAGTACCCCTCTTCCATGCCTGCCTCTGTCAGTGCAAACCTTCCAAGAACAGGGGACTGCAGCAGAGTTTCTGCCACTCAGCGCTGCTGCCAACTGGCTGGGAAAGGCTTCACTTAAAACAGGGCACAAATTCTGTCCCTGGGGGCAGATGCCACTCCTCCAGGCTCCCTCTCTTCAGCAGGTATGCACATCCTGCCAAAAGCCTTTGGTCATGGAGAAGCCCTCATTCCTTCCATGCTGGGATCAGCGAGAGGCACCCATTCCTGCCCCAGCTGCTGAAGGAACTGCTGGACCAGGGTCACACAATAGGCACATGTCAGGTCCCAGAGATGTTGTCCTCATCGGGCCTTGAACAATACTTCTCAGCAGCAAAACAGTTGGTGGCATGCCTGTGCCTACCCCCCCCACACACACACACACTTTTACAGAAATCTTTCTCACAATGACTGTTTTACTTTTACGCTTATGTCTCACTGCATACCTGGCTGGGCTGAACTCACCGTGTGGACCCACCACACCCAGTGTGTTTTTTACTCCTTTTGATAGAAGGATCTTAAGTGTCCCAGCTCATCTCCAACTCCATCTGTATCTATGAGGTTAGACTTCTGCTTGTATAACAGGTGGGAACCACCAAGTCCGACCTATATGGTGCTGGGGATTGAACCTTATAGTGGTATATTACTTGTGTTTTAATAAATAAAGTTTGCCTGAAGATCAGAGGGCAAAGCAGCCACACTAGTCAGCTATACAGGCCAGGGAGTGGTGCACACACCTTTAATCCCAGCACTCGGGAGACAGAGGCAGGTGGATCTCTGTGAGTACAAGGCTACCCTGGGCTACACAGGATCGATACAGACACAGATCCTGATGGTGGTGATTCACACCTTTAATCCCAGTGTTTGGGAGTCACACATCTTTCACCCCAGCACTAGGGAGGTGGAGACAGGAGATATGGCTGGGCAGAGAGAGGAATATAAAGGGGAAGAGACAGGAACTCACTGGAGTGTGAAGTCTGAGGATTTGTGGAGACAGGATCTCGCCCTTTTGGTTGAAGCTTTGGTAGAAGTAAAAGGTCTCTCTAGTGGTTGGCTGCTTTTCTTTTCTGATCTTCATGTTGAACCCCAATATCTGTCTCTGGGTTTTATTATTCGTGCAACAGAACCTAGAATCTTATCTATGCTAAACAAGCTGTCTACCACCTAAGCCACTGCCTTGTTCCCTTCTTTCTCACACTGAAAACCCGACTGTGCACACAGCAGCGGGAGGTAACTGCAGCTGCAGGACAGAGCAACACCCCGCTCTTCCGCAGTCTGTTTGAGAACACTGGTGAGGCCAGTGCTCAGAGCTTAGAACTTGCACGCAGAAGCTTCCAATGCGCCAAAGCACCAGTGCCTCTCTGGTTTCCTTCTTTGGCCATTAGCTAACTCCTCAGGAATCTGTGGGAGCAGGTGATATCCATTTTCTTTCTATTGGTTCACAGCTCCTGGGGTGGCAGTGAATCCAACAGAGCCCCTCCCATGTCCCCCACATTCTACATTTTAAGTGACACAAGGAACATGGGAAAGGGGTTGGCTACAAGCAGATACACCCACAGAAAGGAGAGTGTCTTGAATACAGGCACCAGCGAGGTGCTGCACAAAGAGCTTTGTTTGCAGAGGCCAAGAGGTTACTACCATCTTGTCCGCATAAAAGGCGGGGCACAAATCTAAATTGCACACCCACTGAGTTATAGTGCTGAAGTAAATGGCTGAAGAGAAACAGGTCATGGAGACCTTTGCCTCTGTTGGTCTTGGGCAGGAAAGACAGAAGCTCCAGAAAGCAGCAGCTTATAAGCAGAACCCAGGGTGATCTGAGTTCAGGGACTCACGGCATCAAAGGTCAGATAGATAGACATCCTGCCTCCAGACCTGGGGCTGAGGGGAACTTGAATCAAGAACCCTAAGATAGTGTGACTTCCTCATCCACATCTGTCCATGGAGGAAGAGTGCGGTGGGGTGAGGAAGAATGGAAAGTACCCTGAGGAGATCTCTGGGTAGAGTCACTGTCCTGGGAACTGGCACCTAAAGAAGCTCTGACGGGTCAAGTCTCACACTCAGAGGCAGGTGGGTGGTGACCCCATTTCCCTGTACCCATTGTGAATGGTGCCCGTGTCAATAACGGACATGGAAGAAGCTTCCAGTTAGTAGAGTATCTTGGAATACCCCAAGAAAACAAAACAGAATCCAATTAAGAGCTATCCCCATGGCTTTGGCCTGAGACACTGGAGGGTTTACTACTGTGTGGTTCAACTGGGCTCAGGTGTCTGTCATTTTGCAGTTCCCAGGCTTCTGCTCCCTCATCAACCATAATCAAGCACTTGGGCAAACACAGCACCATCTTCCCAGGGCATCAGATACAGGACCATGAGGTGTTGCATGCAAACACCGTGGAGAGGACTACACACCACCACGTCTAAACAGGACCTCATGACTGCCCTTGAGACAGGTTTTCCATGTTCAAAGACACTGGGATGGAGATGTGAACAGGCACAGGACAAGTGGAGCCAAGTGACTGTCAGGCCTGTTCTCTCCCTGTCCCACATACACAGTGGACCACGCTTGCCTGGCTCCAGTGTGGGGAATAGGGACTGGCCATACTACCTACGAGTCTCAGAAAAGCTGTGGGTTGCTTTTAGACTTGACCTATCTAAAATCTGGAATGTGAGCCCCTGCAATGACCCGTCCTAGAGGCTCTTCCAGGCCACTTGCTATTGATGGTGGATGGTAACAGTTCAATCAGCTTCCACAGCAGGCAAGTGGCCTTTGTTATCGATGGAGTCAACCAACTTTTAAACAAAAATACTTGCAGCAGCTCGGCAGTGGGACACACACCTTTAATCCCAGCATTCAGGAGGCTGAGGCAGGTGGATCTCTGAGTTTGAGGCCAGCCTGATCTACAGAGCGAGTTCTAGGACAGCCAGAGCTACACAGACAAGAAATCATGTCTCAGAAAACCAAAAAGCACTTGCAACACAAGCAGTGATAGTGATGCACACCTGTGATCCCAACACTCAGGAGGTTGAGGCCAAGGGCTGCCCGAGCTACACAGTGAGACCCTGTCTGAAAAGAATTGGGAGGAGGGGAGTATGCCTGTATGGACATATAGAGAGGGGCTTTTGGTCATTATTTCTCAAATAAAACAGGTTAATTACTATTATTTAATGGCATTTACATGGTGTTAGGTATTATTCGTAATTACAAGAATTAGCATATACAGGAGGTTTGCATATATAGGTTCCATGTGTTTGATACAGTGTGTGAGGTTATATGCAAGCCCCACTCATTTTAGACATGAGATTTTGTGCACCTTTGGGTTCTGGAACCCACCCCCCATGGATGCCAAGAGAAGACATCACACACACACACACACACACACACAGAGTCTTATATTGTATATGATAAATATATTCAATTTAATCAAACAGATGACAAAGCTACAGAAAAAAGGGGCCTGAGTCCCCCAAGTCTCCACCATTTGAAGGACAATCCACCCTCAGGGAAACCCAGTTTCGAATCTGCCTAAGCAGGCATTCCTATTCATGCACTAACATGCTGGGGTTTACCTGCTGCAGCAGTTACTATGACTCTGACCTTTAAACCTGAGTTTCCAAACCATTTGGGGACCCCTAGGGAAGCACCAGGCAAGGTTTCATAGGCTCTAGACACACCCCCTCTCCAAGCCCACCCACCTGCCAGGAGCTACTTCCCTGCCCAGGTTACACCCAGCGCCCTTTCACCCTACAAGCCTGCAGCTCAGTGCTGCCTTGTCTGTTTCCACCAAGGAAAGCGAGGATTAGATGCCCAGAGAACCGGGATTGAAACCAAGCAAACTCCAGAACCTTTCCTCCTGTCTCCACACGCCAGATTCCCCCCAAGACCAGTGTTGAAGGAACCAGGATCATGGCCAAACTGGATGGTCACGGACATCGGAGAGGCACTTCAGAACAGGACTAGGACCAAAAGCCATGCAGGGAGTGGCTCTAAGTGGATCTGCCTGGGCACTGCTGACCCTGGAAGGCAGAGCTTAATCCAGGATCAGGAGCTTGGTGGCCTGCCAAGGCTCCCCACTGCTCTGCCTGAGGTAGCCTGGGAAGTGAACACTATTTCAAGGACAAGTGAAGACAGCATTTGGTCACGTCTGAGGTAATGCTGATGACATCATAAACCCAACCGACCTGGAAATGGTCTTGTGGTATGAGTCCCCGCAGTGTTAAAGCTGGGCAGCTGATGGTCACAAACCTGGCAGCTCAAAAGCAACTTTTCTCTTGTCAGACAGAGAAAATGGCACAGAAAGGGGGCTTCTAAAGAATTACCAACTCTCCAAGGACACCTACCTGAAAGACAGCAGGGGGGGGGGCTAGGTTGCTAGGCAACACTGAGCTCAGGTCCTAGTTGCATAAGTAGGTAGGGGTGAGGCCAAAAGGTGAATGCAGTGGGGGAGGGGAAGCATGAATGCTACATTGTAGAGCTCTGCCCTCCAAGAATGAGGAAGGGGCACTGCCATCCTGAAGTAAAGCACCTACGATTGGGACCCTTGCCCACAAAACTCCCTAGTGAAGAGAGGGGGACTTCAGACTTCACAGGACTTCCAAGAGGCGGTGTGTGTCGCCTTCCTGCCAGGGCACACAGTCACTGCTGGGAGAGGGGGTACCTGTAACACCTGTGAGTCACCAATCCATCACCTACACTCCCAACTAGCCGGCGCACCAAGTGAGCCTGGGGTGAAATGACTTCCTTCTTCTGCCTTTGGGGCTCCAAATTTGGAACATTTGTTCCTGTCTCCCTAGGAAATATAATACAACAGCCCCATCTGGGAAAGACACAAACCTTGTCCACACTGCTCCTGTGGACACAGCACCCCAACAGCCCACTCACTCAGCAGAGCCCACCACACAGGCAGGAGGACAGGGACAGTGGACCCAAGAGAACAAGAGTGATTCTGCTAGGAAACAGAAGTTGGAAACACAGTATCACAGAGACCATGAAAAGGGCCAACACTTGCCTAGCCTGTTCGAGGCTCTGGATTCAAGCCTCGCTACCCAAGAAAAAAAATGAGAAAAGAGTAAAGAGCAGACACGTGGCCCCTGTTCCACTTCTCAGATCCAATCAGCTGAGGGAGATGTATTTTTACAAGAGACAGAAAAAAAAAAATGTAAAAATCCCCCAGAAAGCCCCGAGTTCACACTGCCAACTTCAATCACTGTCATCAGGCAATGGACTGTGACGACATCTAAGTATCAGAGTCACAAGCAGGAGAAGGTGGGGACGACAGTCTCCGGAGTAGAAGAAGCTACTCTGATTGACAGCTGAGTAATTTCAGATTCCGAGATGGTAAGATAAGGTCTAACACCCCAAAACTGGGCTCTTTGTTTTTTTTTTTTTAAATATTTATTTATTTATTTATTATGTATACAATATTCTGTCTGTGTGTATGCCTGAAGGCCAGAAGAGGGCGCCAGACCTCTTTACAGATGGTTGTGAGCCACCATGTGGTTACTGGGAATTGAACTTAGGACCTTTGGAAGAGCAGGCAATGCTCTTAACCACTGAGCCATCTCTCCAGCTCCCTCTTTGGGGTTTTTTTGAGATGGGGTCTTGTTATGTAGTCCAGGCTAGAGTTGAACTCGCTGCAAACCTGCCTCAGCCCTCCGAACACTGGAGTTCCAGTTCAGTTCTCATTCTCTCTCCCTCCTTCCTTTCTCTTTTGTTAAAAGCAGATGTAGGGGTAGAAGAGCCCAACCAAGAGTGAAGATTTTACACCCTGCCCAGGCCACGGGCCCCGGATGACGGGTGTTCCGGGTGTGGTAAGTTGAGAAAGGAGGAAGAATGAATGACAGGCAAACTGCTGGACGCTCAGGCAGACCATGAGTGCCATTGCCATTGCGTGGAGAGTCCCACAGAGTGTGCTCAGGCCACATGGACTGAGAGAGCCAAGTAGAGACAAACTTCCATCCACCCAGGGGCCTGAGACAATGGAGGCCAGGAAGTCCTCTGCTCAGGGACATCAAGGAACCCATAACAGAATCCTGAGTATTAGTATGGGTTCAGGCCATTTCCAGCAAGATAGAGAAGCTCCTAGCACATTCTAGAAAGAAAGTATTCTCTCAAGACTATTAAACTCTGGCGACTACATGTGCAGGGAGTCACAGACGTTACCTGGAAAACCTCCCTCTAACGGTGGGCCCACACACAATCCCTCACCAAGTTCCTGCCCCGATGTCACCAAGGAACCTAGGGAAGCCCCTATTTACTTTTTGGACAGACACTACATGGAAACATATACCAGCCTGGTAGGGGACAGAGGAAAGGAAGGAAAGATCCCACAATGAGAGTTGAAGCTTGTCACTTGCGTGGTGAGAACAACAGAGTTACGCAGAGGCAAACGTCTACCTACAGGAGCCTGTGGAGAAAAGGGGCTTCAATCTGGGGTCGTCTCCTGACCCCAGACCTGTTCTGCTAATGCTGTAGACATTTGCTCAAAAACAAGTTCCTGAAAAAGTCCCCACCCAGACTCTCAGAAGGAGCCAATGCCACCTCTGCCTGCCAGCTGTGCTACAGAAAGAGGTCTACCTGGCCAAGGGCAGGACAATGGACAAAGGCTGGCTCCAGGAGAGAATTCAACACCCAAGAGCCCGGAGGGTAGTAAAAGCATACTGGTAAGCCTCTGTGGCCTGTGAGGCACCCTGAGGAATGGCATCTGTCCCTGGTATCAGCCTACTCCAATCCCGTCCCCAGCCCCCAATTCACCTGGGTTCAGGACAGGCTGGACGATGTCCCCGTTCCTCCACTTGGTCTCCATACGTTCTAGCTTCTGGGCTTCATAGCGCTTCCGACCCTCTTCCTCCAGTTCCTGCCGCGAATACTGTGGAAAGGAAGCCAGACAGAGAGAGGGTCAAGTGTGGGGGGACCCAGCCTTCCTCCATACCCTCCAGACAGAGAAAGGGGGGGGGAACCCAGCCTTCCTCCATACCCTCCAGGCTCCAGGCCAGAATCCCACCCTTCTAGCATTTTGTAATCAGAAATGCTCCCTTTCTTCTGACGGCATGACCACGATATAACAAGAATACAGGACAGATGAGAGGTTCACAGTGTGCCCCTCCTCAGAGACAGCCTGGTAGACACCACAGTTAGATCTCGGTGTACCTATGGATATACAAAGTCCTGTTCCTGACACGAGAGCTGAACCCCTGCTTCATTATGTCACTGCAACACAGTCTATGTGACTGATGGTCATTTAGCAGTGTTCCTCTCTGCTATTAAAATGACACCATTTTGATGATTCTTGACCACATCCTATCACTTGGCACCCGACTCTGTCCTGAACATTAAGCTGCAGAATCCCAGATTACCCTCCTGCTATCTTCGTTATCCACCAGCCAATCAGCAGGCAGGACCTTTGCACAGCCAGGCAAAAACAGGCTGAAACAGCCCCAAGGCGCTCCTAATGAATCACAGGAGTTTGGTCCAGGAAGTGTAAATATAAAATCTATTATAATGCACACCTTTAATCCCAGCATTAGGGAGGCAGAGGCAGGCAGATCTCTGAGTTAAAGGCCAGTCTGGTTCCCAGAGCAACTTCCAGGACAGCCACAGCTACACAGAGCAACTCTGTGTAGAAAAACAACAACAACAACAACAACTAAGTATCAATAAAATCTATTACACAGCTGAGACTTCTCAAATCCTGGACATGATGGGGATAAAGGATTTTTAATACCACATTTAATGTCTCATTTCCTCCCTGGGATCCTTGGAGTCCTGGGTGCTAGCTTCAGATATGTACCAAGTCCACTGTCCACCCACTCTCGGAAGCCTCTGTCCTGAGCCCCCAGGGGCAGTACACACCCCCCTTAACCCGGTCCTCCATGCTGAGCACCGCCCAGTCTCCCTGCCCCCTCCATACTGAGCACTGCCCAGTCACTGTCCCTGCTCTCAGCCTCCCCTTCTGCTTCTCCACTCAGTCTGCATTTCTGGCCAAGTCCTCTGGTTCCTCCCTTCCTGTCAAAGCCTCTCTGACCATAAATCACGCTGAATGGCAGCTTTAGACCTCCTTTCTAAAGACAGGCTCCTGCTCCAGGCTTGGCTGAGCAGCTGGGCAGAATTCTGGGGATTAACCATCCATCCCCTTCAACTGAAGAATACTTCTTCAAAGTAGGCCAAGGAGGGAGCTGAGAGGTTTGCTCAAAAGATAAAAGTCAAGTGCCACTGTAAGGAACATTTAACACTGCAGGAGACGTTCAACCTTCCCTTCTGTGAGCTGACTACTTCCTGACGCTCATGCCCAGTGTTGGGGGGGAGGGGGGGAGACCAAGAGCAGCATCTGTCTGTGTTTGGTCCATCACACAGAACTGATGGTCAGATTCCAACATCCTCAAGAAACGCCTTCCAGAGATTTTAGAGAGGATGGTGCACAAGGTGCAGGGTTCCCTCCACACCCCCACCACCACAAGGCCAAGCACTGGCTAGAGATGGCTCAGTGGATAGGAGTGCTGTCTAGAGAGATGGCTCCGTGGTTTGGAGCAAGGGCTGCTCTTGCAGAAGACCCGTATCCATCTGTAACTCCAGTCCCAAGTGATCCCACACCCTCTTCTGGCCTCTACGGCACACTGCTCATATGTGGAGCACAGATATACATTCAGGCACAAAACATAAAAACCAGAGCAGCAGACAATGCGTTCAGGTCCTCAGACTTGGGGGCCTCCTAGAGCAAGTGCACTGAAACACTCCAGAGGAGCCGGTCTGTTCAGCACCAGGGGCCTCCCGGCGCAGCAGTCCCGCTGACTTCTTTTTTTTTTTTAATTAATTAATTTATTTATTTATTAAATATTTCTGTCTCTTCCCCACCTCCGCCTCCCCTTTCCCTCCCCCTCCCCCAATCAATTCCCCCTCCCTCGTCAGCCCAAAGAGCAATCAGGGCTCTCCGTCCCGTGGGAAGTCCAAG